CGCCTTGGCGATAAGTTCGAGGGATCGCTTCGCAGTCTCGCGAACATGGCGGTTCATGTGCGCCAATTCCGTATTAAACTGCATGCAAATTTGTGCGAGGCGTGACCTCTGTTGAGGCGGCTGACCAGGGTTTTGCTGCGGCATAGCATCCTCCTTCTTGATGTTCTTCGTGATTTTGTGCAACAATGTCTCCAAGGTGACCTGAGCAGACCTCCTAGTCTTCTCAGGGAGGTCCTGGGGCATGTCCTTGATGACGTACATTAGAGAGCGAATGAACTCGATCTGCTTGCCCGCAACCCATTGGTCACCTAGGTCAAGCTCATTGAGAAGGAAGTTGATACCGAGCGAGCCACCAGTTTTGGTAAACCACTCTTCTTCGTAGCAGCCATGGCAGAATGTGGTGCTCAAGTTATTAAAGAGAGGCAGCCTAGCAACACTCTGCTCGTTGCCCAGAATTGTGGTGGCAGAGTCGTATACCTCCCGGATCGCGCGCTGCGCAGATTCTCGCACTTCTGGGTGATCCGAAGCCAACGATTCCACAATAGCATCAGAGAGCACCCGGGTATCAATAAAGAGTTGGCCTTCTCCAGCGTTGGGATCGAATGGGCTATACGTTCGCTTGACGTCGACCAAGGCTCGGCCAACCTCAATGATTGTAAAGTGTTTGCAGAGATTCATGAGGAATGTCTGCGCTTCTTCCTTGAAATCAGGCAAAGACTCGGCAAACATGACAGCCTTCAGCAAACGCTTGAGAAGATCGTCTTGCTCATCCTTCTTGGGAATGGATCGTTCTCTGTCGTGTGTTGTGAAGACAGAGAAGTCAAAGTCGATTCTTCTGGCGGCTAAATCTTGAGCTTGGAGGCGCAGAAGTCTAGGCATGTCGTCGGGCAAGTTCTCGAAGCCGATCCGCATCTTCAGTTGGGACTTGATGAAGTGGAAGGACTGCTTCTTGTAGTAACCATCATACTGTCGCGCTTGGTTGCCCTTGCCCGCCTTTGGCTGCTCCATCAACTTCCTAATGGCGAAATCAACACCAGTCTCCGCAGGGAAAGCTCTATCCTTCTTGGAGCCGATCAGGCGAAGATCAAAGCTTGTCGGGTCGTCGGCATAATCCTTGTAGTTCAGGGGCTGCGCGTCGGTCATGAACTTTCGGTTCCGGCCTCCAAGCTTTCCTAGGATGCGCATCGTGGTATGGGCGTGGAAGTGACTGTAGGGATGGGGTTTGAGATGGTCAAACAGCGCCGTCATCAACTCATCAATTACCGGAGCCATGATGGGGTCCAGGTAGTCCGCGGTGAGGTTATCAACACAGAGCTCCAGCGTCCGCAATCCTTGACCGACCAGATCGGTGTTGGCGCGCAATGCGACAACGAGTGGCCGCATCAGGAAGCTGAGATGGGGCAACAAGTTGCTTAAACGTGCCGGCACCGTCAAGCACAGTTCCACGTAAAGATCACGCTCGGCGGGTTTTCTTGCTGCCATGAGCAGGTTGTTAAGCACATCCAGCAGCATTTCAAGCAATGGCAGAATCTGCTTGTAGAGATGCTCAAACTTGCCGCCACCAATGCTTCGGAACAACGATCTCAGGAGTAGGAAGTAGTTCATGGGCTCTTCAGCCTTTGTCGACAGCTCAATGGATTTGGTGACAATGTCCACAACGTGAGGAAGCAGGACCTGTTCGTTTTGGTTCGCGAAAAGCGTGACTGCCATGAAGGCCAGCTTGAACAGTCTCAACAGAATTGACGATTTCTTGACGTCCGCTGAGCCAACTTGGTCAATTCTCTCCATCAAGAAGCGCAGCAACATGCCGCAAAAGCTTGGCGAAGTGGCTTCGCTCGCGAGGAAGAATTGAGGGATGTGGAGCAGCCCCGTGTGCTCGAAGATCATGTCGTACAGATGGGGAATCTCTTGCTGGAAAACTTCGTGGAACGTCGCCGGGTCAATGCAGTGGAAGACAGTCGCAAAGGTCTCCAATAGCTCCTTCTCCTCCTTACTGCTAGAAACCATGTAGAAGTTGGCCATGTACTCCACGGGCGACATATACTGGGACTCGGTTGCAGGCTTCTCGATTTCGTAGTAGCGGAAGACGTAGGCACCCTCTCTGAACAACTTCACGATGACGTTGACCTCCTCTGCTGTGAAACCATAGGCAACATCCTGCCAGTGCTGAGGGGCATTCTGTACGTCGATTACGTTGTTGACATTGCAAGTTCTGAGCTGATAGAAAGTGTTCTTCAGCCCGTTCATCAGGTTCTTAAACAGGAACTTGTTGTCCACAACGGGGTCTGCGCCTCTGTCTCTTGGATTTGACGTCTTGATCGGCATGGCAGTAAAGATGTCGGTCTCATCCCAGTCAGGCGGGTGGTCCTTGTCCGCAAGGTAGCTATCCTGGGTTCCGTCAGCGGCTTGCTGGGCGTAGAGTTTCGAGAGCTTCACTGCGTTGGGATATTGTCTATTCATGGCCACGAACTTGTCGCCAATAGCGTTTAGGATCATGATCAAATAGTGCCGCGCATCGACCTTGTTAGGCATCTTGGCGATGCACTCCGCCATATTGAGGAGGAGTTTCGCACTCATGGTCTGGAAACTCGTCCCTGGGAAGTTATCCTGGAGATTCTTGGTGTAAACCTCGACCGTCTTGCGAATTTGCTCAGGTGTGAGACTGTCCCTGACGTGATGGATGAGATCGGCGAGCATACTATACGCCAACGGTCTCATAGTCTCGTACACCGTAAGGCCGTCGCCGATCAGCGTCTTCTCGTCCAGGAGCTCGTCAATCTTTGGCAAGAAGATCTTGCGGAAGTTGAAGTTGATGATATGCCTAATAGCAACAAGCAGCTCCTTACGCGCACTCGACTTTTCCCTTGGACAGTCCTGCAAAAGTCGAACCACAATCTCAGGAAGCGTCGGTAAGAAATCCGTCAATTGCTGAGAGTATTGACGCAAGAGATAAGCCAAAAAGCTCATCGTCTTGACCTGGGCTGTGATAAACTCGCCGAAAGCAGCTCGGTTCTTAATCAACGGGCTCACTCCCGTAAAGATCTGTCCCCTAGCCTTGGCATCGGCATGAGCCTGCTTCTGCGCGCTCGCCTGTAGGCAGAGGAACCCCTTAATAAGAGGGACGAAAGCCTTGACGTTGGATGCGACAGTATTTCGATAGACCTGGAAAACGGAAACTACAATGATAGGGCATTCCGAGAGGACTTTGAAAGACTGCATGCCCTTCAGCAGTAGCCGATTCTGCTGTTGGGGATCCGGGCCGAGATCTGTGACCGACGCTACGGGGGAGCCCGGTCTAGGCGACTGGAAGTTTGTCTGGGAGCTGCCCGGCGTTGATGGAGCGCCGGAGTTTGATGCCGTCGAGAGTGACGTGTTGTCCAGCTGTTCCCGCACGACCTTCTCCATCTGTTCGAAAAGTTCCTGGATTAGGTTGAGGAACGCCTGCACCTTGCCCTGCAGGACTTTGTGTTGGTGACGCATGACATCCGAGATGATCTTGACGCATAGTGTCGCATTCTCTTCATTATCCGTACGGACCAGCTGCATCAGCAGATCGACGACCTCTTCCGCGTACGGTTCGAAGGGTTCGGTCGGGGACGGTGTCGCTGGCAATCGGTTGAGGACTTCGAGGATACATGTTCGCAATTTCTGTCATCCAATATCAGCAGGCGCACTCATCTACATCGATGCGGAATGCCTTACCTGCTCCGGGGAGTTGCTCTGGAAGATGCATGGTCCTCTCAGTATCGTGAGGAAGATCGGTACCATTCGCTTCAGGAAAGGGGGGTATATGGTTCCATTGGTGTAGTGATCTAGGCTATCGCGTAAGGTAGTCGCCGCCTCTAACCTGACTCTCGAGTCTGTACCGCACACATGTCAGCAAGATCCTGAAGAAGAGTGATGCGTCTCCGCCACAGCGGGGTTCCGAGTTCGAGGGAGCGATCGCATCGCATTACACCGGGGGTTCGTTCCGTACCCGTGTCCGGACTGCTAAGTCGCTTGACGACATCGTCAATTGTGGTGCCCGACATGGCGGCGTCAGTGGCCCTCGGGGGACGCGTGATTCGTTCCCATGCGTGGGAGGGAAGGGTATCGTGGATGACTTCGTGTCGCAGCGAGGCTGATGGATCGAGGTTGCGGACGAGAGCGCGCGTTGGAGTTGGAGGGGTATCTCGTTGATCAATGGAAAAAAGAAAAAGGGCCGCTGGTGGTGTGAAATGTGAATAGAAAGACCAAAAGGTAATTTTACAATTACGGGATGTCTTCGCGTGTGCCTTGGTAATTGGGGTGCCCCAGTCGTTCCCAATCGCTCAAGGTCGCGCGGCTTGATTAAATGGATTTGATGGCCCAGGCTTGACGTGAGCTCTCAAATTTCCGAAGGCAGTCGCGAAGCTGGGGGAACCAGCCGCCAAATCATTTGGCGCTAGGCATCTGAATAATATTGATCCGTGACGAAGGCTCCATAAAAGATCCACCCGGAGTGCTTGCCGGGCCGCGTCTGGGGGCAGGGGGGTTTGCCTAAAGCGCCTTATCTTGTCTGGGGAGCGATAAGAGCTCCGGCCGCCGGTGAATCACGATCCGGAGGCGGGCCGGGATTCCACTTCACTCTTCGGTCACCTTTGTTCAGCTTTACATCGTTGCTTGCCAGCCTCAGTTTCCTTTCACGTTTCCCAACGGCTTTTACGCAGGTACCTCATTCTTTGATGCTTGTGTAAAGTCCACAAATAGAAGCGCATACAACGGTTTTACCTATTGGCATTTCTTGGAACTAACCAGTCCATACTGATCAGGCAGTTCAGCGTTCAGAAGTTTGAGCCGAGAGGCTTGAGTGAGTCAGAAGTCTCATTTGGGACCTAAGAGTAGTATATATAATCTAGATTATCCCGCATTGAATTCCTTCCGGCGGCCTCTGTATTGTCCACCTTGGCAACAACTCCTCTCACATGGTCAACTTTGAAACCTCACGAAGGCAATTCAACAACACCCAACTTCCTCTGTCAAACACGAATACACCCCATTCAAAATGAGTGGACCACACACAGCCTTCTTCTATGGTGAGTCTGAGATTCGTGTCTTTGATGGTTATGAGCTAACAATATTGACAGGCACTTTGGTCAGTCGTCCATCTCTCCTAATCAAACATTCCGAGAAGCCATTCCACTTCCAAAGATCAAATGCTCAGACTCATCCCGAGAATCCAAGTTGAGCTTTTGTATCAGTCAGTCATAGGGGTGTCACAGAGAAAGCAGGCTTCGACATTGCACATTTCAAGCAAACCGTCATGAAGATATCGTGCCAGCTAGGACTTTACACTAACACTTCCTTTCCCCCCTCAGATGGAGCCCAAGGTCTTCTTCACAGTCGTCCAAGGCAACGGCAACCCGCCCCAGGCAATCAAGGACCTCTACACATTCACCCCCGCCCTCCTGCACGACCACACCCGCCACCGGGTCCAGCTCGCCGACTACCCAGGCATGATCCCCGAAGCCGGCGGCTCCGTCCTAGGCATCTACGCGACGGGCCTCACGGACGCCAACGTCCTCAAGCTCGACTTTTTCGAGGGCTCCGAGTACGAGAAGAAGGTGGTCACCGTCAAGGTCCGCAGCGGCGGCGGTACTAGTGGTGGCACAGAGCAAAAGGAAGAGGACAAGCAGGCCATGGCTTACATCTACAAGCGTCCGGAGAACCTGGAGCGCGTAAAGTGGTCGTTTGAGGAGTTCCGCAAGGATAAGATGCACGTCTGGACGCGCGAGAGCTACGTCTTTGAAGGTGAGACAGCCCACAGTCCCCTTATTCAACCTGTCTATGGGGGACGGGCGGGCTTGGCTGGTCGAGAGGATGGCTCAGTTCCGACGTGTTGGACTACTCTTTCCGCTAACATTGGTAAAATCAAATCTAGGTTGCGACGATTATGCAGAGTTTGAGAAGGTCGAGAAGGAAGATGCAAACGGTCACGAGGAGAAGAAGGATGAGGTTGCCAAGTAGAGCGGTTGCTTAGGCCCAAGGACTTGTATCAGCATACCTCTGTTTTCCTTGCTCTTCCCTTTCGTATGGCGGCAAACGGCATCGTTTGATGGGCTCTCACGGTAGGCAGGCGGCCGATGCAGGTCTGCACCTGGGCCGATAGGGCGGTGTGAAGTGGACATGTCAGCGCCGGCTCACGGCATTGGAGACAGCTGAGCGCCGCTGCCCACACATGGCAGACGGGCAATTACGATGTGACGGATAGATGAAACCAGGACGCAATATCAGCAAATAGAGAAGACGACGGCTTGCCAAGTTCTAACCAGTCATGCTCAATGAACCAGTCGAAGTCTGCCGCCAGCCTTGGCGCACAGGGCTGCAAAGCATGAGTACGCGTGCCTCCCCCCGTGATGTGATGTGATGCTGTCGTGGCCGACGTCGTCGTCCTATGGCCAAATTTGGGCGGCAATGCAACCATTCAAAGCGGGGGAAGCCCTCAATCCGAGGGGCAGCCTTGATGATATCAGCAACGCCCATGATAAGTACACTAACACTCGCTGACCGCAACACAGCTTCTGAGTGGTCCACGCTTATGCAAGCTTGCTGAGCGACCATGCAAGCCCGGCGTTTTTTGTTGAGCGGCTGAGAATCATGCCACGGAAAAACGAGCCACAGCATTTTAAACTAGCTCAGGAACAGGCGCCAATACGTCGTGTAAAGGCGTGTAAAGTGCCTCCTCGTGAACAATGCCGGCCCACTCTTGACTTCAAGCATGCTAGTAGCGGCTGACTCTCGAGCGCCGGGATTTCCAGCTTCGCAAGGATGGTTGTCCAGAGGCATCCGATGAAGAATACTATATCGGTACTATACCGGTATCTGTAAATCTGTGCTGTTGTGGCACAGGAAGCGAAGCGAACTGGTCCCACGTACCGCAAAGCTGGTCCCTTTTCTCGGGGAGCACGAATTACGAGCCACAGGGGGCATAGTATACGAGCGTTCTCTGTGGCTCCGGCAGGCAGGGGAAGCCACACTGCGCCACAAGCCGTTGCTCGCAAGGTGGCACCGAACAGGGGTGGCTGACGGCGGGTGGCGTTACCTGGGAAATATTCGGATCTCCTCGTGAGGTTGTGGCTCAGAGGCGATCTTTCATGCCGAGGCGCGCTCGAATTGGGCGTTCGCCAGGGATGCCCCTCCCCACTGAGATTGATATGTGTCGTTGCCCATGGCTTAAGCTGATGGCGGCTCGACTGCCCAAAGGAGCACCGCACGACGGCAAAGAATGCCTAGGGTATTGGCAAGGGGCCATCAGGTGGTAGAGGTCATGTCGGGGAATTCATGCGTGAGCGGGAACGGGTGCCGTTTCGTAGCTGGTACGGCGCTGGGCTGTGTACGCTGGCGGGCGATCAGTGTCGCAAGTACGAGACTCGGTTCAACCAGATCGTCCGAACATGAAGGAGAAGTTGAGAGAAGACGGGCCTACCAGCGCTGGCTGCCTTCTCAGCTCCCGTGGAAGCGTGGCTCCCTCCCACACCTCCTCTCCCTTACTCGGATCGTCTTTCCAGACGGCGCTTGTCGAGCCTGGGCTCATTCTACCCAATGCCCAACCAGCTGCGATGTTCAGGGGAGGCAACAACACGGACGTGGACGGGCCAAGATGAAGGAGGAGGGATTTGTCCAAATCATCAGACGATGGAAACCTCGACCGGGGGCAATAGCGTACCGGACTCGAAAGTACCAGAGCTATCTGTGTAGTTGATAGATGAGGATGCGTCGACGCATGGGTAAAGAATTACGTACTGCGCCGCGCGCAACGAGCCGACCGAGATATCTCGTCTCTTGTTTCTCTCAGCGTCACCCTCCTTCCCCTCTCTCGTGAATGGGCAAGTGCTACGGAGTAATATGAGTCTCTTTTCTTTCTTGCGAGCAGTCCCTGTCGATATCCACTCGGCCGTGGAATTCGGGCCACCACGATCCGGGAATTGGACGGTGGACCACGGGGTGGCGATCAGCAACGTGACAGTGGACAACAGCCGGTGAAATGTCCCACTACGGTCGGGCAAAGGCCGGGGGACAGTGATACGTATCCATACGCAGTAGGGACGCAGAGAGGAGAGAGTAGAACCTGCAGGGTTCAGGTTGATGGGTCGTGGTCGCTTTGGGCTCTGGGGGTTTGATGAACCGTGAACGTGCCAGAGTGACAGCCGGACGACGGGCTGCGTCCATGGTCGCAGAAAGAGCAGCTAGCTGCTAAGAACGGAGTAGAAGACGCATGAAATGCTTAGTAGGCCTGAGAGCTTCGGCGCGCGATACTTTGTTGTCGTCCACGTCGTCGTCCCGTTGCTGCCAAACGACTGGTCAACGTCAGAGCAACCCGAGGATTAAGCACCTTTAGGCTGACAGCTCGTGACAGGTGCTCAGCTAACCAACGAAGCTGGTTCGTTCCTTAGAGCGCTTACTCCAAACGCGGCGGATAGGAAGAGGGGAAATAGGTCGTTGTGACGACGTTCTCTCGATGGAGTTGGACAAAGGGAAACGACTGGCCCTGGCTTGTTAAGACTGAATCGCAGATGCCATGCGATGCGGCAATGCCATGCCATGTTCCCGCTTTCCGCGGTCCGCGATAGCCTGTGAAGGGACTGAATGTTTGGGTCTTGACTAACTGGTCTGAAGAAACAAACGGTCAAAAAAGCTTAGCTTGGAAAAGATTCAAAAACACGCAGGAACCATATGATGCCGCACGCGGCACAATTACTGCGTACCGGTAATGGTAATCCCATTAACAGGTGACGGTTAATATCCCATTGATTCGTTGTCAGTGGTTCGTAGGTGCAGGTTCAAATGTCCGAAAGGAGAAGAGGCGAACTTTGGTGGTCGTGAAACTGGCTTCGTTTCATATCCTCGCTTCTGCGCAGGGGTGTTGGAGTTGGGGGCTCCTGCCAGTCACCACTTACCACTGTCACCAGTGCCCACTGCCAGCAAGTCTTCTGTCGTCTCCTCCCCAGACATTTTGCAGGAAACCACCTCACCATGACCATCTAGTGACCCCTTCCACGAGACCCTGCGTCCACTACAACGTAGCATGTGTGACGACTGATTAGCCTACCATTTGTTCCTGGACGATGGTATATTAGCACATAAGGTGCGACGAAGGAAGGAATGAGCCCATGCCAAAGTACCCAGGGCTTCCCTCAGCTGCACTTGTGAAGTGGGCACGATTAACGAGAGGGCTGGAAAAAGGCCTCAACTTCTCAAGTTGTGTGGACTTGTGGATTGGACAGGAGGACTCCCAGCCCGGGGGTACGTGAACCCCTGATGGACCGAACCGAAAAATGCACAGAACTTCAGAGAAGCGAGAAAACATGCCCCTGCCGTTACCAGCGTCGTCTTTTTACCAACCCCTGTGCCCCTGCACTTGCACAGGAGGATCTGCTCGCCTGCCCCCGCCTGCTCTCCGATTTAGCGGGGAACATCCAGATGGGCAGGTCGCAGTGTCAGGGGACTTTGGCCTGTCCTTTGCATGTCAACATGGGTATGCAGTGCACTAGGTCTCGGCACTGGGATGAGAGACTTTTCGGAGAGAGAAGAGAAAGAAGCAAGTGCGCATAGCATAGTGAAAACGAGTGGCTGTCGTGAGCCGCTCACCGTTCCTTATTTTCATGTCTTCGGTGGGGAGACCGTTGATCGTTTAAAGCAACTAAGAAGGTAGACCGCCACAGCCCATATGCACGACTTTCCTGTTTCTATCTTGACCTGAGGCTTAGGTAAGGTGGTCCACGCATACACGTGTAAGGTACGGAGTACGGATACGGATGCGGGTCCCCACTATCAGGCCAACACCGGGAGACAAGGTACACTGCCACCGCGGCACTACCGGGAAGAGACTTATGACGTGTTAAGGCAACAGCCGCAATAAACGAGTGTGCAGATTGTACAGCGGTGCTCCCTCCCACTTACCTTTCTTTCTCTCAAGATTTCGCCTTCCCACAATCCACAAGCCAAAACGTCCACTCTAAATGCGCCTTGTCGCCTAGGGCCGGGGCCAGAGAGGTAATACCGAGGTCGAGACGGAGTAGATTGAGTTGGGGGAGCATCCGATGACAATTCAACTCTCTCACTTTACGTTACTCAAAATTCTACGGAGCACACAACGTAAACTTCCCACAACGGGGATGACCCATCGCTGACTCGGGAGAATCTTGTCGATCAACGCGACTTTGTTCATATTGGGTCTTGGCTTCTTAGCTTTTCAAGCGACAATGCGCACAATGGATGGAGGGATGGGGCCTGACTGATACACTGCATTCCGCGCATTGCTCCCTCCCTCCCTCCCTCCCTCACGTAAGGTACCTATCAGTATCACTCAGCGCACCGAGGTGTGTGGAGGTGTGTCTCTCGGTGTGAAAGGTGAGCTGAACTAGCAACAAGGTGTGCCCCCCGAGGAGAAGTCAAGGCATCTTGTTCCCAGAAGTCTCACCACCGGCTCGAGATGCCCGTTGCATGTCTCGCTTTCGCCTGGCATGCTGAGGTCTGGGATATTCTTTTTTAGTTCTTCTTCACCTTGGTCAAGAGTAAGACATCTTGGCATACAAGTGGACTGAGGATGATTGTCGGTCCCAAAAGTTCATGTCTTGGCCAGCGGTCAATTCACTGCGAAAAAAGGAATGACATGAGAAATCGCGGAACGAACTCCATCATCGTACCAGAGTTTGGATATCGTCTGCCCCTTTCTTCCACGTTCCGTACCCCCCTTGCTCATCAGGCCTTGCCGAAAGCCGTGGATGCGTGGTTCTGCGGCACAGCGGAACACCCCTGGTCTTCCACGAATTGAAATTTTTTTTTGACGTGCGTTTTCCTTTCCGCGCCCACCTCTCCGATCCCTGACCCTGATATTTTTCTTCCTCTCTTTAACACGTTCTCCAGGCTCCATGTTCCCCCGTCGCCTGCGTCGCGCGTGCACCAAGCTCATTGGGCTGGGTGAGCGGGTGAGGCTCGCTGCGCGACAACGGCGGCGACACCATAGCAGTCCAGTCCCCAGTCGTTGCAGGTCTTGGTCTTGACTCTTGAAAATCCCCCCTTGCCCATCCCTCTTCGGCGTTAGTCTACTTTAGGAATGACTGCGCTCTCGTAACCCCTGCACTCAGAATCGTCGACAGGGGGCAGATGGACCAATTCTGTCTTCTCCCGCACCAAGGTACTGGACTCTCTCGCTCACGAGGTGAGCATCCGAAAACGCAGGCCCTGGGAAATGCGGCGTAGCCAATGCGATCAGGCAGGGTTGCGCCGCACCGTGACGTATCTATCTCCGCGAGGGTATGCGAGGGATCTAAGTGGCCGCCACCAAGGCCCCTCGGGCGACAGAAAGCGAGGGTCGCAAAAGATGGCCGCCGATGGATCACCACTACACCCAAGTCCCGTCTCCGAATCCAAGGTTCGACATGTCCTGATTGGAGGCCGCCTAACGTCCCAAAAAAGAAAGGGAGAGCAACGACGTTCGGCAAAGCGCGAAAAGTCTGGAATGGACTGGACTGCTTCGCCCTTTTCGTGTTTCGACGATCTTGACTTTGGACCCAGTCAGTGCATACGGTCGAGCCGTCAGTCAGCAAACGAGCCGCGCTACCGTGCCGCGCTGTCTGTTTGCCTGTCAGGCAAAGTTCTGTCGTTGAAGAATTAACTACCAGGTCCAGGTATACTACATTCATCCTTGGACCTTGAGGCTTGGCGAGGCGAAGGCAACAACTCGCCTCTTTACCGTCCAAGGTGAAAGAATAATACACCGGATGAGATGACTAAACTTGCATCGCAACGCCTCCCTTCTAATCTAGCCTCAAGCAAGACTAAGATAGTCTGGACGAATGCATTTAGTAACAAGAACAGGACGGGAACCAAGAATACTAGAGAATTGGGTGTGGCATTCTGACTCTTACAACCAGAGTGACTACTGCATGCTGTGATCATCTCCCAGATGGTGCCTTGCAGTAGTCCCCGTCGACTTTGGTGCTTCTCCTGTCTTGAAAGCTGCAGCTCGAGCGCTTCAGTGTTCCTACCGCTCTTCTAGAGCAAGTTGAGGGTTGCCATCTACGCACTAGATGGAAACATGTGGTTGCACCTATGCGATCCTCCATATTCCCGTGCCTACCACCCTCGCCCCTTCCAAGTGAACTACGAATAAGGTATCCGTTCCTACCTGAGTAGGTAGCATGGAAAGATACGTATAGACGGGACGTTTCTACAATGCGAAAAAAGGAGCTGGTGCCAAAAGAGTACGTATCGAGAGAGGCAAGGAACCGTGCACTTGCGCTCCGTTAGCGTCTCCCGAGCACCCAATGGGACGTCGTCCCTGGACGGGAGTGGTAAGGGTACGTACTGCGTTGTCCGGTGGGTCCTGGGAGTCTAGAATCCACAACATGCACCCATGCTCCCTGCATCATCGCTCCCTGCTCCCTGTCGCCAGTCCCGGACCTCCCCTCCCACTAGCGCACCATCCTCGGTGTCACTTGTCTCTCTTCCCACCTCGTCCCAGCCATTCAATCCTCGCTATCAACGACAGCTCGAAAAACTCCTCACCAATCCCTCCCCTATAGTCTATACCACTTCGACGCTGGTCCACAGATGCACCACAGGACAACCCTCCCTCCTCCCCCGCCTTTGGCTGTCCTTGGCTCCTCCTTAGACAAGTTTAGTCAGGGGCATCCGCTGCTCGAAAAGAGCGCAGCCCAACCCGCAACGCACCATGGCGCGCCTTGCTGCAAGGTCCCCGTCCCTCCATGTCCCACCCACATCTACATACCAAAGTCCACCACCATCTGTCTTTCCCAGGAACATGGCATGGTCTTACCGTCTTAGCCTCTGCCGCGAGACCATGGGTCAAAGTCGACAGGCAGACGACAGCCGCAGCTCGAGCTCCAGATGGCGCCCACACCCTAACTGATCACCTATACTCCGTACCCATCTCCATATCCTTTTCCTCTCAGTCACACACACACTCTCTCCTCTACACCCCTGCCCACTCACAAGAATGTTTAGTCCGGTCTTTTTGAGCCATGTCGAAACAAGCCGAGGGGCATGTCTCCGGCCTATCATAGCCTCAAGGCCATGCCTCTCCTTCTTCAACGGCCTGCCCCTGTACCCCTCGGTCGATCCACTATGCTTCGAATCCCCTTGATCTGATGCCCATGTCTGGTCTTGACTGGCCCATTTTGCTCAACGCCTGTCTAAAAAGAACGCCATGTCTCTCCCGTCCCAAGTGGACCGATCTTGTTCAGCTACTCATCCTCCCGGTCCGACCTCCAGTCCATCCTTCTCCAGTCCTTCTGGGATTACCGCCGTTCTCTGCTGCAGCTCGTGCTTATTGCTTTTTTGCCTCTCCTTTCCCGTATCCATTCGTTTAGTCACTAAGTCACTCTCTGCACACTAGGCCCGGCATATTCTGTCCGTGGGGCCCTGTCAGTCACAGTCACTAAGGTACTCACTTCGTTTTTGCCCATCATCCCTTTTGGTCTGTTTCCGGTCTTATAAGACCTGGCCTTGTCCGACCTCACAATCCCATTCCACTACTCCTCATCCTCTCGGACCATCACGTCTTCTCGCATTCTTTGGGCTTGGAAAGAACTTGTCGTTTCGACATCTTACCTTCTCTCACTTCTCATTCAACAAAGGCTAGTCCTTATTCTTCTTCACAACTTCCATCAACATATCCAACTCGCCTGGTGCAAATACCATCCTTTACGGAATCAAACGAAACCACATACAAACGAATATCGAAACTTCGAGTCCCATCGACAGCTATCCGATTCTCAACCTTCACTCCAACACTTTTTTTGTTGAAACATCCCGCAACGTCAAAGCTTCCTAGCCAGACAAAGCGAGAAGACATTGTAAGTAATCTGGAATGTTATGAGGATCCTCTTCAAGGGAACGGCACGCAGCCTTGGCTGTCCTTGGCCCGATTCGATGCCTTTGTCCGACATCGCGGCCCGCTCTGTATCACAAACAATGTCATTCTTCAAGGAACCCAGTCCCGTCACACCGGGACTTTCACGGTCGTGGCTGTGGCTGGTTGCTTCGAGTCGGGCCTGTTGAGGAACAGATGCGCTGTCGAAGATGCTGGATCTTGTGTAATGGCTAGGTTGAGATCAAGAACTAACACGCTTTATAAAGGTACTCATTCTTCGGAAACCACAAATTCTTTCCAACTCAACTCACAGTCACAACGACAACCACACGATACTGAGATTCTTACGTCTGGAACGTTTTAGATTCTTAACTTCACAACTCAAAAAAAACTCACTCAAGATGTACGCCAACGCAATCGTCGCCTTCGGCCTGGCCACCCTCGCCAGTGCCCATATGAAGATGAGCAAGCCCGTCCCTTACGACAACGCCAACCTCGACAACAGCCCTCTTATCGAGGACGGCAGCAACTTCCCCTGCAAGTCTAGCAGCTACAATGCCGCGGGAGCATCCAACGTCTACGCCCAGGGTGCCACTGGCGAGCTGGCTTTCATTGGCTCTGCTGTCCACGGTGGCGGCTCTTGCCAGGTCTCCATCACTTGGGATGCTAAGCCCGACAAGAACAGTGTCTGGAAGGTTATCAAGTCTATTGAGGGAGGCTGCCCGGCCAAGAACACTGCCGGCAACCTCGGTGACAATGCCAACCAGCAGGGCAAGGATACCTATGACTTCACGATTCCCAAGGACATGCCCGCTGGCAACGGTACTATCGCCTGGACCTGGTTCAACAAGGTTGGAAACCGTGAGATGTACATGAACTGCGGACCCGTCACCATCACTGGCTCCGGTGGCTCTCAGGAGGCCTACAACGCTCTACCCGACATGATGGTTGCCAACTTGAAGGGCATCAACGACTGCACTGTGTCCGAAAACATCGACGTTACCTTCCCCAATGCCGGCGACTCTGTCGACGTCTTCGGCACTAACTTGGGCCCCCCCAACGGCACTTCCTGCGGCACCTCTTCCGGCGGTGGTTCCGGCGGTGGTTCTTCCGGTACTCCCAAGCCTAGCACTACTGCTGGCAGCGGAGGCGTCGCGCCCACCGCTGCTCCCACCTCTGCCGTGGCTTCCTCTAAGCCGTCTGCTTCCAAGCCTACCGGCAACGCCTCCCTCCCCGGCGGTGTCTTCATCACTGTCCCCGCCAACGGTGGAGCCTCCGCCACTCCCACCGCTTCCGCTTCTGCTACCAAGGCACCAGCAGTCACTCCCAGTGCTGCCCCTTCTGCCGCTCCCTCCGCAGCTCCCTCGTCTGGTACTGGCAGCGGCAGCGGCAACGGCACTACCGCTGGTGCCCAGACTGTTGGCGCTGCCTGCACCGATGAGGGCGCCTGGAACTGTGTCGGAGGCAGCTCCTTCCAGCGTTGCGCCAGCGGCACCTGGTCCTCCGTCCAGGCCCTTGCCGGCGGCACTTCTTGCACTGCTGGCATCAGCTCCGAGCTGAGCATGGTTGTGACCCGAAACGGCCGCAAGCGTGCCCTCCGCCAGCGCTCCCTTCGCTTCCGTTCCGCCTAAGCTGGTCGATGGCGAACACTCTTTCATGAACGGTTTAGCATTTACGGGATATGATACCTCGGGGATACATTGGACAAAGTCATGACAACATACAATGCACTGCACAAACACTTGGGGCGTTTCATTTTCTTTCTTGAACATTTACGACAAAATTCTGTACATATACATTCCATCATTATTGGTATGCCCATTTGGGGGCACATTGTTTGGATCGACAGGCCTGAGAAAAGTAGCACGAGAAGATCAATAGCATAACACATGCTCATAAAACATTTCCCCAATGAATTTCGCCATGTGAATCCTAAAAAGTCCCATGCCTGATCTCTCACTCATCGATCCACACACACCAAACCCCAAGCTTTCAGCTCTATCTCCCGTCAAAGCGTCCGACGGCCACTTGCGGACCAGAGCTTGACAATCCGAAGTGGCGTCTCTGACACGCGGGCGGGGAGATCCTGGGAAACGAGTCAAAGATCTCGTGGGGTTCCCCGGGCGGACAGGGACCTTGACATAACTCAAACTTTGTTTACCTTTGTCTTTGTCTTTTTTCTCACACCTCGAGCGTAATCCTTCTACATGACAAGTACAGGCGTGTAAGGGTGCGTAGTCGAATGAGAGCTGTTCCTTGTCGAGCTGAACAGGCTGACACATGCCATATCAGATGAAGAGGGCACGCATGGACATGATCAGCATTGCGTGTGAAAAAAACGCCTTACGACACTCTGAGAGAAACAAATGCAGAATCGAAACATTACTGAGTCGCTGGTAGGGCCCAAAAAACGCGGCTTCTGAAGTCACGGGCTCTGGAAAGAACTCGACTCGCATTCGCGAAAGTGATAGAGGCATGGGTATCAATTATTTTTCTGTTTGCGCATTTTCCCTCTGGGTATGAAAATACAACATGCCTTTTTGGGCGTGTCTGTACCAAGTTCATAATTGTGAGTCTTTTCATCCCATCGTCACTTTCCATCCGGTCTTTTGGCCTGTCTCAAGCTCACAACCACGTATCACCTCCCCGTCCCGCTTTCCGACTCCCCAGCAGCCTCCCAAGCAGCCTTGTTCTCGGTTCTGTGTCGCCCTTTCTCAACGCGGAGAGTTTCACGGGCACCACAAAGGGATCAAGCTCGATGCCAACATGCGCGCGCCCGTCTTCGCCAACATACCGACCGAAGCTGAACGTGGCGCTACTCTCGAGGCTACCGCCGGTGCCGTCGTACTCGCGCACCGCCCTGCTGGGCGCGAGGTAGGCGAGGATGGACCCGATGGTCGTGGGCATGCGCGGGAGGAAGTGCTTGATCGCCAGGCCGTACAGCGTGATGGCCACGACGATGTTGATGGCCAGGACGACGAGGCTGATGACGAGGGCGGTGGTGTCCAGGAAGATGCGCGTCTCCGTGGTGTGCCGGATGCCGGATATGGTCACGGGTTCGGGGTAGTTGTCGAGGAAGTTCTGGTTGTTGCCAAGGAGGAGGACAAAGATCTGACGGTAGACGGCTTCGAGGGCGGGGATCAGCGCGGTGGCGTTTGGTGGGACGGTCGGGTCGAGAAGGTTCGCGTGGCCCGGTTGGATCTTGAGTAGGTAATTCATCCAGTCGCGGGAGAAGCTGTCGTTGTGCCAGCTCTTTTGGGTTGAGACAATGAGCTCATTGACGTGGGCGGATAGCGCATCCGTGTGGTTCGTCGAGAGTGGGTAGTCGAGCGTTGCCGAGACATTGGATGCCCTTGTCGCGTTGATGATGTAGCCCTGCCAGTCCACCGTGACGTCGAACATGGCCGTGGCGAAGACTGGCTCACAAACGACGAACGTGCTTGCGATTTCTCCATCCCCCAACTCGGTACTTCGCGACCGTTTCGCGGTTGTCGTCGAGTTCGTTGGTCTGGTGATATTCGAAGCATGAGAAATTCGCGACCAGCCCATGAGCAAAGTGGTCTCGCAGGGTGTCAAGTCGTAGGAGGTGTCCAACTTTTGCACAATCTCTTTCGAAGCCGGCCCGGGAAAGATGTCGTAATCGCTGTCGAGTGTCATATCTTTCGTGATAAAGCTTGTGCTGCAACCCTTCACAGCTTCGCCGTTCCTGGTCATTGTGTAATTCACCTGAGGCGCTTTCCTTATCGTGTTGTAAGTACCAAAGTCAGAGCAGGATGGATTAGTACTGAAGCCCCTGGTCCGCGCCGTAAACGTCGTGCCGCTCGTCTTATCCTCGTCTTGGGGAACAATGTCGAAGGGCTGAAAAAAGTAGTCGTGGTTGACCCACGGTGTAAGTGGTGTGTTCTGAGACACGTTGTTCATGAAAATGTAAAAAGGAACCTCGTACGGAGCCGAGTTATGGAAAATTGCGCGGGTTTTTGAGCCATAAACGGATGCGTTACTCAGTCGAGGCATGAATGATTGTTGAAAGTTGTAAGGGCGCTCAATATCTATTGGCTTTTCGTTGAAGAGACCACCGAGACCGACAGCTAGGAGATTAGACAGCAAGGCCAACGCGCACATGGCCGTGAGCATGAAGTGGCCCGACTTAGCTGCCCTCCAAAAAACGAGTTGCGGAGGGAGAGAGGTGTATCTGGCATTGATGGAGCCCTTGGCCGACCGTTTGCCGTTCCATAAGTCCTTAAATGGTTGCAGGATGCATAGAAGCCTATTGACGAGCACCCAAAAGGGCTCCAGCAAAGTTGCAAAAATAGTGGGCACATAGTTTTCAAGTATCTGCAGCACCTCGAAGCTTGCATTCGGACGAACGATTCCTGTTAATTTGGTGAGCTTTCGACTTTACCGTAGAAATCATACTTCGAACCTTTGTTGCGCCGTTCGAGCAATTTGAAGTAGACCAATCCGCCGACAGCCGCCATCATCGATAAGGTTACCATAGCACCAACATCTCGGCGTAGGGCCAAGGGCTTGACTGGAGAGTAGTGGCCGACGGAAAAGGTGGTGTCTGGCTGGGTCAGGCTGATGCGTCGCTCTCCAATTGTCTGATCTCGAGTATCGACTACTTTGATGACCATTTGCCTTGAACGACTCTGGCACCCGCAGAACAACTTGAAACGTAAGTCTTGGAAAGATTGCTTGAGGGCATCCTCGGGTAGAGCTCCCTTTCCTGCAAGCTTGTCGAGAAGCGTAGTGCTGTTTTGACAAAGACTAATCAGTGATCCTAAGGAGGCGGGGTCCATCGTCAAGCGGCTAGGCGCCCTATAGCCGTGCAACCATAGGAGTATCGTGAAAATCCCAACAATAATCAGCATTCCTTCGACGATAGCGGAGAACACTCGGCTGACAATGATACCGTGTAGCTCGACATCGATGTTGCCAGCAGTGGTATTCGAACTGGAGGAGTTTTCGAGGACCCGACGGAGTGCGAGGGAAAAGAGCATCTTGTGTGTCGAGTTGTAAGCATTGCCTAAGCTGGTCTCGTCTCGGTAAATGTCGAGTGTCTTGACGTTCTTCTGTGAACCAATCGCGAAGCCGGCCATCGGCGCCATCGGCCATTTGATACCCAATTCGGCGACTTGCTGATGCTGTTCCAGTAGACGTCCAAACGGAAACTCTTTCGTACCGCCGTTCGCACCGTCGGGTTGCGTTGTTAACACCCCGGCTCCTAGTAGATGCTCGAAAGCTGTCATGTTAAACTCTGTTTCCAAAAGTATTTCCCGAGGACCCAGCGGAACAACCGATTTCTCCAAAGGGACAAGGTCGGCAGCTCTGACGGAGGCATTGACAGGCTGCTTGTAGTAGCTGGTCTCGCAGAATATAGAGGTAAGGTTGATCTCGTTCTTCTGATAGTCCGAGTGACCCCACGTGGCCAGAAACTGATTGCTTGCTGATTGCTTCGAGCAAGTGGCACCCAGGTAGTAGTCCACCCACGAACTGTACGGATACCCTATGTACAACATCTGGTAAGGCAAGTCGTTTTCAAAATTCCCATAGCTGTTGATCTCACTGGCATTACAGCCACGGCCATTGAGGAAGTCGTGGTTATGCTTTCGCGGGGCCCCGTTCATGTGTACCTCCGCGGGCCAACAATTCAATTGAGTCCAGAACTTGGTGGTGGATCCTGTCCAATTGGTTGAAGATCCTTGGATAGCTTGACTCTTGGTGTCAAAAGGGAGCAGCGTGTATTCCGGCGTCGTGTAAGGTGGCAATCGCTGGTTCAGCCAAGTCTGGGCATAACCCTCATTGAGAATAGTCACATCCATCAATCCAAAATGCTCTGACGCTGGCCGAAGAACCTCAGTAGCAGATATGTTGACTTGCCGCCTTACATTGACTGGGCCCGTTCCAAGTATTGCACTTTGGAGGGGTGTTATTACCCAGAAAATGAGGACCATGACTGTTCCGCCGTAAAAGACTGCCCAATGTCTGCGTTGGGTAAGCCCACACCTGGCAAACGTTGCAAAGGTAAGCTTACCTTCTCTTGGCTGCTTTGATCGGGACGAAAGCGATGAAATCGTACGGGTAGTCCAGAAAGATCGACTTCTCTGCTGTAGCGCCCTTTGGTCTTGACATCTCCAGCCATGGTTGCATGCGCTTGACGTCAAGATCAATCCAGCTCCAGAGTAAACTGTATATGACGGCGACGATAGTAGGTAGAAAAAGGTAGCAGAAGTTTGCAAAGGCCGGAATATCGTCAGCTGACTTCGAAAGGGCGAAGCCTCCTTGAGACTGGCTTTGTTGGGCGAGTATCTCGATAATTACCGCAAGGAGGAAGGATGTGAAAGCGAAGGAGAAAAGAACTGGAGCACTGAGAGTCAATGGTTTCCAGCCATGTTTGTGAACTATTGGACATGTCAGCTAGTGCCATTCGACTTGAGATTGGTCTCCATGTTCTATCTGACCTGTTTCAAGACTGCATTCACTGTCTCGCGATCTTTGAAATACGAAGGGCAGTGAAGCCTTTCGGCTCTGTCTCTCAGGGGCCTCATCTTGGAGAAGCCGAGTCTCTTGGACCTCGGGCCCCTTGATACCCATGGCCTCGATGGATAATGGGCGTAGACTATCGAGGAGAACAAAGCAAGGATCTCGGTTATGCTTGATTGTATGATTGTGTGGCTCAGTTGACTAGGGCTATCATGAAAGACTCAATAACCCCTCGAAACAAAAATTGAAAGAGAAACCCGCCCACACCAGCTCGAGTAACAAAAGAAACAAGACGAAAGAGAAGACGAGGAAGAGAAAGATGAAAGAAACTCAAGCCAGGCAACCTCTGTTCCTGGGAGACGCAGAACCTTAAGGGAACTTGACTGACAGACTGAACCCGACAGTCTGGGTCGCCGAAACAGACTAAGAGGTTAACTTGCTACCAACAGCATAATCCTCAGCGCGGTAACGAGCCGATGCGCATGATTTTGAGCCGTTCCTGGACTCGAATACTACATCGCGCCAACA